TTTTTCCGCCTTAACCTGGCTAGTAAGAAAATAGCATTTTCTTGTCGCCCAAGCTAAAGGTAGCTTGAGCTTCGACAGATGTGCAATGTATCAACATTTTCCATAATGTGTGGGGGACTCTCAAAAGTTATTGCTGCCTATCCAATGCCGTCGATTAGACTCATCAATTTTCCAACATCAGGTGAGTCAGCAGCATGTGTGCAGCATATTTGACAATAATGGAACACCCACGCTTCGCGCTTACTCGAGAGTAATTACGATAGTTATTGAGAATCGCTGACATCGTCTACTACACCAACAGATCTTGTTGTTAGCAGCGCATTAGACTCTGGTCATCGGATATGATAATTCACATCGCGTCTGCAGTGCAAGTAAATGCACCGCTCGACTCACCAAAACATTAACGTCTACACAACACGGCGATGCTTATAGATGATGCTTCATTCCATTCATGGAGGTTTCTGAACAACATCTCACCAGTGGAGTAGTCATGAGAGCTTTATACAAAAATAATCAATCCTCAAACATAAAGCTCTGTCTTATGCAGTGCTGCCTTATGGGAGGATGGGAGGAGCATCAGTGACGTCGCCAATAGGAGGCGCACTGGTAACTACCGGAGCTCCAGTGCTAGTAGCCTCCATCATAGAGGATTCAGTGGTGGACACCATTGAAGAGGCTCCAGTAGTCATAGACTCAGTCAGGGTGGCTGTAGGAGTAGTAGACTCATCCACAGGAGCTTCAGTTGTGGACTCGTCTACAGGGGCCTCAGTAGTGGACTCACCAACGGAGGCTTCAGTAGTGGACTCGTCTGCAGGAGCCTCAGTAGTAGACTCGTCTACAGGGGCCTCGGTAGTAGAGTCGTCTACAGCGGCTTCACTAGTGGACTCGTCTATAGGGGCTCCAGTGGTAAACCCGTCTGCAGGGGCTTCAGTAGTAAACTCATCTGCAGGGGCTTCAGTAGTAGCCTCACCCATAGGTGCTTGAGTAGTAGACTCGTCTACAGGAGATTCAGTAGTAGACCCGTCTACAGGGGCCTCAGTAGTGGACTCACCAGCAGAGGCTTCAGTAGTGGACTCGTCTACAGGGGCCTCAGTAGTGGACTCATCTACAGGGGCTTCACTAGTGGACTCGTCTATAGGGGCTCCAGTAGTAAACTCATCTGCAGGGGCTTCAGTAGTAGCCTCACCCATAGGTGCTTCAGTAGTAGACTCGTCTACAGGAGATTCAGTAGTAGACCCGTCTACAGGGGCCTCAGTAGTGGACTCACCAACAGAGGCTTCAGTAGTGGACTCGTCTACAGGGGATTCAGTAGTAGACGCATCTACAGGGGCTTCAGTAGTGGACTCGTCTACAGGAGCCTCAGTAGTAGACTCATCTAAAGGGGCTTCACTAGTGGACTCGTCTATAGGGGCTCCAGTAGTAAACTCATCTGCAGGGGCTTCAGTAGTAGACTCGTCTACAGGAGATTCAGTCGTAGACCCGTCTACAGGGGCCTCAGTAGTGGACTCATCTATAGGTGCTTCACTAGTAGACTCTCCAACAGGGAATCCAGTAGTAGACACATCTACAGGGGCTTCGGTAGTAGCCTCACCTACAGGGGCTTCAGTAGTGGTACCGCGCGGTGTAATACAATCCGGCAGTCGCAACTTTTTGCTAATGTTGCGGATTTGCCAAATGCTATAATTCTTGACAGTCTCACCTTTTTGCTCATTTGTATGTGCCGCTTTCTCAGTTACAAAGTAGCAACCACATTTACACCCTAGCAAGTTCTGGTATAGGTTTTAGCAACCAAATGTTGAAAGTAACAAATTCGAAAGTGTTTTCCAGCAAGTCGCTCTTTCTTGCTCTTTTTTTGCTGCATTGTATATTTCCCCGGAGTGTTTTACACGCTGGCACTTTTGCCCAAGTGTGCTTCGCCCGCACGTTTTCGTTATTTTGGCAAGTTATGCTCATTTGCTGTTTGATATGTTTTGCGTTGTAATTATGTAGTCTGGCACCTTTTAAGGTTTGCTATTGTGTGATGTTCCTGCATGAAATATACAAATTGGCAGTTGCCGGTATGTGACAACGCTGCGCTACTTTTATGTTTCGGCTATTTGCTCTCTTGTAACTTACGCCCTGCGAGAATATATACTAGCGTTTTGCCCATTCGCTCAAACTCCGTCTCTGTTAGCGTTATTAGCAAACTTGCCCTTTTGCATTATTCGTACAAGTAATATACAATCGAGCAAACATAGTTATGGGATAGCATTTCTCGTTCGATTACAGTATTGCGTCTTATATCCATTTTGGTGCATGTTCATGCCCTGTGCACTTACTAAGTATCTATCAGAGGTGTCACACCTCGTGTCTCACTTCAAGTGAGTCACTTAGTATCGGGTCAAAGCGTGATAGCACTCCAGTTAGATATATCATTCACTCCGAAGACAGCGCGAGTTATGATCAATGCTGAATACCAAACACATGATTGCTCTTGCACGTCGCGATTGAATCATATGAGATAGCAGTTAAATTGAGTCCCATCTTCGAGTATCCTCTCTCTTTTTGCATCGTATCACTTGTGTCTGATGGTTTGGTACGATTGTACGTATTGACGAGTCAACAATACCCAGAAGTTAAACCCTCACGTAGGCATTACGTAAGTATTACGGGCAACTTTGACATTCTGCACGAGAAACATTTGCTCATGGGCAGTGGCACTCATCGGAGCGTCTTCGTGGAGCTATTGTTATAGACTTCGCAGAGGTGTCGAAGGATTGTACAGGAAAAACGCAACATGGACTAAATTACTGATTATGAACTCTACAGCCCCCCACACACAATGTTCACTCCCGGGCACCAGTGAAGGGCCTTCATAGAGATACTATTAAGGGTTACAAGAGAAGCATATTGAGAAACGTCCAAATTGTTCTCTACCAATCATCGAGACAGCTACCACAAGTAGCCTACTTGTAGCAACTACAACAGCTGAGCACCACTGAGGTGCCTACCTTACTGCGAGTGCGTACATGGTCGCTAGTCTCCAGTGATGGGAGAAACTACTTCGATTCCTCACGCTCGTCCTCTTTCGACCACTTCTGCTGCAATTCTTTCGCCGCGTGGCTCTCATACTCCTCCACCAATAAAATAGCATTGTTGTTAGGCGAGTTCTTTCGCACTATATCATCACATCTGGTACCTCGGGAGAACTTGTTCAGCGCCGGGTAGATGCGGAGCACTGCTAAGCCAGCCTGCCTCTTTCCTCGATTATTTCGATGTTCGCGAGGGGCATCTCTCTGCAATGACCAGTATTTGCTCAGACTACCGAAGAGCATATTGGTTCGCATGCAATAGGCCACGTAGGGATCAGGATGCGTGTATGAAAGCCACGACATCTCGCATGGGCACCACTGGGGTGCCTGCAATACAGCACTGCACTGCAGATGAGTGATCCACGCTGATCCAAATAAGTGATCTCGGATCACTCAGTACGAGTGATTCCGCCCAATACGAACTACCATCTAAACACAAATCCTCTCCCTCGTCCTTCTGTGAGCATGTGCGAACTGCAATGATGTGGAAAATATGAAAATCCAACGAGCCCTTAACGAATGTAAGTCTTTACTAACGACCTACTACCACTTACAATAGTCCATCCATCATTCTCCCAGTGCTGCAACTATACTTATCTATATCGACAGAACCAAAGAACTTTGCAAAATAGTCACCACTCAGAGACTCCGAAACTATAATGCAATGCTCAACACAATCACCAACAAACCACCAAGGTTAGAATCTCGCGTGCGAAATTTCAATTTCTTCTTCCGATTGTAGAACAGCAAAAATTTGCTCCATTGCGGGATTGCCCATTCGTAAAGCGGTAAATTGCTCCTCTGAAAAGTAGCAATTTGCTCAATAGTAGAAGGAGCAATTTATCGGTTTGCCCCTTCTTTGAGCAAAATTGCTCAATTTTGTTACATAGTAGCACTTCACATAGCGGCAACTTTTATATATTCTAGCAATTTTCTGAAATATAAACAAGCAAACGATATTCATTCGAGCAGTTTCTGTTATACAAAACGGCAAATTTGCGTATTTGTAAAGTGAATTTTGCTACTTTGCTCTTCTGTATATCAGCCATAGCGTTCTTACACACTAGCACAACAGCAAAAGCCGCAGGAAATATACATTCCAGCTATTTGGCACTTTTTTGCTATTTGCTCCTTTGCTATTTCGTAACTGAGCAAGTGGGACAACCGGGCAGTTTCGTTTGTCATGCTCATTCCTGTGCCTGCGTTGGGCTCATCGACAATCCGTATGAGTCATCGGGGTAGATTCTTCCTCTGTAAGCAAATACGCGATATGCCACAGAAGAGTAACTTCGTGTAATGCACTTCGTCATCTTCCTCATCACTTTGGCCTCCTTAGTCATTCGTCAAGCCGTCGGCGGGTCTGCCCTCATAATCGCCGAGAAGCTTCATGCCGCCGATGGTGGTTATTGTCAAAGTCTTTGTGATGCATCCCCCGACTGCATCTTCAGCTACTGTGGTGACGACAACATATGCCATGACGTGGGCTCAGTTGCTTCGAGCGGAGCTGTCCCATGCGGTGCTGCGGTAACGTTGTTTGACAGCTGCTCCTCTGCATGCGAGTCAGTCGCCGATTGTTCAGCAAGTCAGTGGAAATCTTTCTGCAAGACCTGGCTCGATACTCCTGTTTGTTTCGGCCTCCTCCAAAGTGCCAACGGATTGTGCTATGAGGTCTCGGCTGGATGTACTGGCACGGCCTATCCCTGTCCCTGAAGAGTACTACTTCACGCTGGTAGCGTGACGCATGCTGAAGTTCTTGTTACTGAGCTATTCTTTATTATTGTTGTCATTCTGGATATCTCCATGCTAAGAGTATAAAGTAATTGATTGGACTCTATTTCTGTCTAGCCCCTCGGACTTGTGTTGCTCATTCAGTTCATCTCCAGACATTTAAGGTGTTTTTGAGAGTTCACATAACAATCGACAAAAAGAGATTTCGCCTCGAGAAAATGAGTCATACAGGTTGATATACCTATTAATTCAGTTTGAATCGTCCGTGTCAATTCTAGAATACCTTTACTGCAACCGTGTACAAATCAGCAGAACAAACATCCAACTTCGGTTTGAACTGCGTCTCCAAGTAAGCAAGCTGGTTGGTTCACCCAGCGGCTAGACTAAACATTCTTCCGCCTTAGGCTAAACATTCTTCCGCCTTAACCTGGCTAGTAAGAAAATACCATTTTCTTGTCGCCCAAGCTAAAGGAAATTTTTCCCGCGGTGACCATAATATTCGCTTCGATAGATGTGCAATGTATCAACGTTTTCCATAATGTGTGGGGGGCTCTCAAAAGTTATTGCTGTCTATCCAATGCCGTCGATTAGATTCATCAGTTTTCCAACATCAGGTGAGTCAGCAGCATGCGTGCAGCATATTTGACAATAATGGGACACCCACGCTTGGCGCTTACTCGAGAGTAATTACAATAGCTATTAAGATTCGCTGACATCGTCCACTACACCAACAGATCTTGTTGTTAGCTGCGCATTAGACTCTGGTCATCGGATATGATAATTCACATCGCGTCTGCAGTGCAAGTAAATGCACCGCTCGACTCACCAAAACATTAACGTCTACACAACACGGCGATGCTTATAGATGATGCTTCATTCCATTCATGGAGGTTTCTGAACAACATCTCACCAGTGGAGTAGTCATGAGAGCTTTATACAAAAATAATCAATCCTCAAACATAAAGCTCTGTCTTATGCAGTGCTGCCTTACGGGAGGATGGGAGGAGCATCAGTGAAGTCGCCAATAGAAGGCGCACTGGTAACTACCGGAGCTCCAGTGCTAGTAGCCTCCATCATAGAGGATTCAGTGGTGGACACCATTGAAGAGGCTCCAGTAGTCATAGACTCAGTCAGGGTGGCTGTAGGAGTAGTAGACTCATCCACAGGAGCTTCAGTTGTGGACTCGTCTACAGGGGCCTCAGTAGTGGACTCATCTACAGCGGCTTCACTAGTAGCCTCACCTACAGGTGCTTCACTAGTAGACTCTCCAACAGGGGATTCAGTAGTAGACACATCTACAGGGGCTTCAGTACTAGCCTCACCTACAGGGGCTTCAGTAGTGGACCCGCCTACAGGGGCTTCAGTGGTACCCTCACCTACAGGAGATTCAGTAGTGGACTCGTCTACAGGGGCCTCAGAAGTAGACTCGTCTACAGGGGCCTCGGTAGTAGACTCATCTACAGGGGCTTCAGTAGTGGACTCGTCTACAGGGGCCTCAGTAGTGGACTCGTCCACTGGGGCCTCAGTAGTGGACTCGTCTACAGGGGCCTCAGTAGTGGACTCGTCTACAGGGGCCTCAGTAGTGGACTCGTCTACAGGGGCTTCGGTAGTAGCCTCACCTACAGGAGCTTCACTAGTGGACTCGTCTATAGGGGCGCCAGTAGTAAACTCATTCACAGGGGCTTCAGTAGTAGCCTCACCTATAGGTGCTTCAGTAGTGGACTCACCAACAGGGGTTGCAGTGGTAGCCGCATCTACAGGGGCCTCAGTAGTGGACTCGTCTACAGGGGATTCAGTAGTAGACACATCTACTGAGGCTCCGGTAATAGCCTCACCTACAGAGGCTTCAGTAGTGAACTCGTCTACAGGGGCCTCAGTAGTAGACTCGTCAACAGAGGCCTCAGTGGTGGACTCGTCTACAGGGGCCTCAGTAGTGGACTCGTCTACAGGGGCCTCAGTAGTAGACCCGTCTACAGGAGCCTCGGTAGTAGACTCACCAACAGGGGCTTCAGTAGTAGAGTCATCTACAGCGGCCTCAGTAGTAAACTCTTGAGTAGTGGCCTCAGTAGTAGACTCGTCAACAGGGGCCTCAGTAGTGGACTCACCAACAGGGGCTTCAGTAGTAGATTCGCCTACAGGGGCTTCAGTAGTAGACTCGTCTACAGGGGCTTCAGTAGTGGACTCGTCTACAGGGGCTTCAGTAGTGGACTCGTCTACAGGGGCTTCAGTAGTAGACTCGTCTACAGGGGCTTCAGTAGTGGAGTCGTCTACAGGGGCCTCAGTAGTAGACACATCTACAGGGGCTTCGGTAGTAGCCTCACCTACAGGAGCTTCAGTAGTGGACTCGTCTAAAGGGGCGCCAGTAGTAGACTCGTCTATAGGGGCGCCAGTAGTAGACTCGTCTACAGGGGCCTCAGTAGTGGACTCGTCTACAGGGGCCTCAGTAGTAGACTCGTCCACTGGGGCTTCAGTAGTAGACCCGTCTACAGGAGCCTCGGTAGTAGACTGACCAACAGGGGCTTCAGTAGTAGAGTCATCTACAGCGGCCTCAGTAGTAAACTCTTCAGTAGTGGCCTCAGTAGTAGACTCGTCAACAGGGGCCTCAGTAGTGGACTCACCAACAGGGGCTTCAGTAGTGAACTCGTCTACAGGGGCCTCAGTAGTAGACACATCTACAGGGACTTCGGTAGTAGCCTCACCTACAGGAGCTTCAGTAGTGGACTCGTCCATAGGGGCGCCAGTAGTAGACTCGTCTATAGGGGCGCCAGTAGTAGACTCGTCAACAGGGGCCTCAGTAGTGGCCGCATCTACGGGGGCCTCAGTAGTGGACAATTCTACGGGGGCTTCAGTAGTAGATTCTTCTACAGGGGCCTCGGTAGTAGTAGACTCTGCAGGCGCCCCCGTCCCCGGCATCTCTGGTGTTTCCGTAGTATCATGGGGAGGGTATGGTGTTGTAGCCGTGAGGACGGAATGGTCGAAGCTGAGCTCAATAGTCGAGTCCTCAACCCGGTAGGTGTCGTCAACGGTATACATCGGGCCGTAGTCGCCAAAAACGCAAAAGCCGCCACATCCCCTCTCAATTTTCGCCGTAGTGGACTGCATACCGCGTTGGACTCCCCTCCACTGGAGGATGAATGGGAGGCCGTGAGCGAGGACCTTAACGCGGTATCCCCGCATGTAACCAGAACGCTTCCTCATGGCGAGGAGAACATCGCCGGACGTTACCCACACAGAATCGGATTCTGAGAATCCCTCTTCTTAGGTTGATCAGCAGAATACCATGTCTTATACTTACCATCAAAGACGACACAATGAAGCCTCTCATCACCAAACTTATGCATCAGATACCAGGTGCCATCGCCACCAGCGGGACCAAAGCAAGGAACAGCCGTCTGACCCCATGGGAGGTAGATGTTAGCCCGGGCCTTGGCCGTCAAAGTGACGTGATGATAATCCTCGTCCCGGCCGTGCTCACCACCCACCGGCTTGGGTGTGGTGGTTGCTTCCTCACCTACTGAATGATTTCCAGTCATCATGTCAGGTTCGACAGGAAGAGGACGGAAGTAATAGGCGCTGATGTACGCATTGCCGACACCATTGTACATCTTCACGGTCGGGTAGTAACCAAACCAATGCCCAAAGGTGCCTCCGTGGACACCAACGGTGAGATAACGGAAGTCCTCATCGTTGACGTTGTACTCTTTCGTCTTGGCGTAAACCGTCACGTCGGTGGCGACGCTGTCATATTCGTCCAATTTGAAGTCACCCGAGTAAACCCCAAACTTGGTAGTCTTCCGGGTATCAAAGAAGTCACCCGGCATGATATCAGTAATATCGCCAACGGCACTCGGCATGAAGTCCGCGGCCTCGCTATGGACACCACCCATACCGTGGTGGAACAGGTAATGAAGCATTTGAAAGAAATCCTCATGATCGCCGTTGTCAGTCGGTGGCTGTGGAGGCTTCGTCGGCAAGATGATCTCTTCAGACGGCTTGTGGTCATCGGCAGCTGTCTGCCAAAGGACGATGGAAAAGAGGGCAGAGCGGATCATAGGAGGAAGGCTGAAAATACCGGCTACACTCCTTCGCGTGATGCTATAGTTAGGTGTACAAGGAAGTAGGCCTATCATGGGAGCAACTTTGCATAGATCCAGCTGTCACAAGCCATAACAACGCATAAGCAAATTGCGGGATGCCTATCCAGGTCAATCACTCGCCCCAGTCGTTTCGGATACTCTCGTGTCAGTTTTCAGCGGAATCTTAGGGACGGCTTCGCAGCGTGAGGAATTGTAATACATCGCTGAATCTCATATTCGATTGCTTCAACTCCAGACGAATGTCCGTGAGACGAAATTTGAAATCCTTTCACCCGTTTCCAACGCGGTCTATGCCACAGACCGGAATTACTTCATTCCAGGAGACTGAGAGCTGACTCGGATCTTTGCAGGTGAGGAGCGAAGAGAGGGAGAAATTTCCTGACTCCCTGGTTTGAAGGAAACACGAGTTGCGGTCATCATCTTAATGAGCGCGGTCTTTATACACGGATCTTTGACGAGGCATAGAGTGCTGCACCATCATGGAAGTTTATTGGATGGCGAGAGGAGGGTTGATTGATATTTGTTGCCAAATGTTCGCTCGCTTCTCATTGGGAACCCCTCGGTAACCTCGTGTTCCATAATGTGACTGCAAGTCCAGCTGCTGCTCAATAATTAGTCCTTAGCATGTCTCTCGGCATCATGCTCGTTCCTCTGAAGATATATACATACAGCTTAAACGAACGATAACAGTGCTCATGGAGTCCATGACACGGACGGCAACTTTTGAGTTACCCTCCTTTTCGTGCCATTGCTGGAGAACGGCGATAGTCACCAGGACGAAGGGCGTTCTAATATCATATTAGTAATATGCTCCCTTGTCGTCCAAGTCTCGGAAGGAATGGTATGCACAAGTGGAGATAGGCTGACGACTTCTACTATCGCTCGCCGTCACACAAGTGGGACAACCGGGCAGTTTCGTTTGTCATGCTCATTCCTGTGCCTGCGTTGGGCTCATCAACAATCCGTATGAGTCATCGAGGTAGATTCTTCCTCTGTAAGCAAATACGCGATATGCCACAGAAGAGTAACTTTGTGTAATGCATTGCGTCATCTTCCTCATCACTTTGGCCT